ATACGTGTTGGTAAAGTGCTTCTACTCGTTGAAAGCATGAAGTACTAGAGTAGGCATGGAAGAAGAGCAAGGTCCACACAACTGTGGTGAAGGAGCTCACATTGACACGTTTCAAAACACGAAGTCTACAAACACTGTATATCAGACACACGGTATCTAAAAAAAAAAAAAAAATCTACTATCTAGGGTTGCTGCTACAAATAGTGCTCTATGCCCAAGCACGGCTCTATGCCCAAGCAGGGCTCTATTCCCAACCAGGGCTCTATGCCCAAGCAGGGTTCTATGCCCCAGCAGGGCTCTATCCCCAAGCAGGGCTCCATGCCTGAGCAGGGCTCTATTCCCAAGCAGGGCTCTATTCCCCGGCAAGCAGGGCTCTATGCCCAAGCAGGGCTCTATGCCCAAGCAGGCCTCTATTCCCAAGCAGGGCTCTATCCCCAAGCAGGGCTCTATCCCCAAGCAGGGCTCTATCCCCAAGCAGGGCTCTATTCCCAAGCAGGGCTCTATGCCCAAGCAGGGAAGAGCATACTACACTAAGGCAGAAAACAAGAGACCAAAAACACACATCAATTCGAGATGGTGTCATCATTTTCATTCATGCAGCCGGGTGCTGCAGTATGATCTTGGCTTAAGCATAAAGATTTACAATTGAACATTAATTTTGTACAAAAAGGCAGGTTTTGGTTGAGAACAATTGTCATTCAGAGAATCGTGACTTGCTGTCCATTTTCCCACAGTATGATGTATAGGAAAAATGTGTCTTCAGTGATGCTTAGCGTCTCGGTTGCTCCCGTACGCTCGTTATGACCGACTAGTTTGTGGTTGTCGCAATCCAATGACATGGTAACCACATCACCGGCTCTCGCTGAGTGAAGCGGCGATGATTTTGGGGTACGATCATAGCCGCGCCATCCAAACAATGTTTCGCCCTGCGGATAGTCAAGGCTTGCGTTGGGGTTCTTGCAAATACAAAGCCCAACAGGGGGTGTCCCCGGCTGACAGTCAATGCGCAGAGCAAACTCATGTCGTCCAGTCGTCCATTCCGTCAATCCACGAACAGTCCTGGCTGAATGCTTGCCTCTGTGCTGCACGGTTTTGTTGTCAAAGCTTAGGGCGAGATCATTGTGGCAGCGGTGTCGAGTGAATTGAAGAGTATCAATGATTCTAACCACGGCTGGGCTCCCCTTCAGGTGATGGTCCCTGCAGATCGCCGAAATCTGAGCCTGTCGTTTCTTGCCGTCCGTCTTGTACTTAGCAACTAGGCGGTGTGTTGACTCGGTGTCCATGGTAACGGGGCAGGTGGTAACGTGATTGTCCGATGACATGACGTGGACTTTAATGGCATCAGCGTGTAGCTCATTTACCTCCAGGTCTTGGCCGTCGCTGGTCCTGGCATGAACGGATATTACTAGATCATGCCCTTCCTCCACGCTCAGGTCTGTTGCCATGCTACTCTCCACCGTTGACAACATGCTAGTATCGACGACCTCGCCGACCTTTCCGATGACGTCATTCAGCGTATCAGCCATGCATGGTGCGAACACGAGCGTGTCGGGCACACACGGATGCACCTCACGCCCGGCCGCACTCTGCACCTCTTGTGCCGCCTCCTTCAGCCAACCGTACATTCGCATGAAGTTGCTGTCGTCATGGCAACTTTCGATCAGGCTCAGTAATTTCTTTCTGGTGGAGAGACCAGACAAGAGGTGACGTTTGAGTTCTTGTAAAGGAATACGTTTGTCGGACTGAAGCTGGTCTAGCTGATCGAGAAGCTGCTGCTGCCTGGTGTCAAGCAATGCCTTTGTACGCGTGAAGAACTCTTTGATCTGCGATGAAACCGCCTCCGTATCTTGGTGTAGGTGTGCAGAAGCTGCTTCGACTTTGTCCAACATCTCCTGAATGCCTTTGCCATCGTTGGAGAAGCTAGCAGCAACCTCAGCTTTGAGCTCCTCCCTAGCTTTGGATGCAGCCTCTTCAATAGGCATAATGGCGTCGCAATGACCACCGTGCGATTCTTCACATTTCCCACAGAGGATCTTACAGCAGGCCATACAGAAGCGGGACTGCTTGGAGGAGGGATGAATGGGACAGCTGCAGGAACCACTGGACTGGAGCAATGACTGTGCAGTATCCGCTCCACTCTCCCCGAGAGCCACAATCTTATGAGAGTGAGAGCTGCGCGATACAGAGTGACCTTCTGCATGGAGTCCGCAGAGAATACTGGAACAATCCATGCATATCGACACGGCCTCTTTGTCGTTGAAGCACTCCCCGCACATTCTCCTGGTGACTAATGATGTATCCCCACCGTCAGCGGATACACGTACATCACTGTCTGGTAGTGACTGAAGCTGGGTTGTTCCTGTAGGTGGCGATGGAGTGATCACACCGCAACTTGGGCATCCAACTGCACTTTCGTCGTTCGTGCAGACCTCCAAGCGCTCGACGCACAATGAATCCAGACATTTCAAGAGCTTCCCACGTTTGTTCCTGCTCCCACATTTGGCACACTCCGGTCGCGACATGGTCTCTGCGACCCAACAAAGTGAATGATTTGGCGAAAGTCTACCTATTTATGGCCACTTGTGAGTAGGTGTGCTGGTAAAAAGGTTCAACGGTGAAGATGGAACAGAAATTGTTTTCGATCGTGTTTGATTCTGAATGCGGTCGTGCGTGCATACAGGTATGCTGATTGTAGACCATGATTGTAGAGAAGGCCATGGGCCTGGCTGTCCGTCGTGTGTGGCCTGGCAAGATATTGCGGTGAGTGCAGGGGCTGCATGCTGAACTGCTACCTGCTTAGGTAGATTACCGTACTCGCGCGATTAGGGCCCTCTCTTCCCCAGTGTGACAGTCAGTCAGTGTCTAACTTAGCCTAGGCTAAGCGCCAGTGAAAACATAAAGCCCTCTCTTGGATAGGTCCCCCCCCCCCCCCACAGTATTGTTACCAAGCGCATGTGCAAATTTTGTGTTCTTTTGCTGATGTTCTTGACCATGTCATTGCACTGGTGTTTTCAGGATGAAAATGGCAGTTCTTGTTGCCATTTCTGTCGAGTCGTCATAGTAGCTTAGTTCGTTCTGTTTCCAGTGTGTGAAAACAGCTGCTGCACTCTAAACTGCTGCTCAATGAAATCCAATCGTGAGAATCAAGCTTGCACCCTGCGGAAATCCACTTCACAGTGGCCGCAGTTCGTACATGTGGATGTACATGTAGCATTCATAAAAAAACTAGGGCTGAAACGATCGTGGATTTTCACGTATCGATTACTCTTTAGTTTAACGATCGAGTAATCGATTATAATCATTAGAAAATAGTGTCATAATTCTGTGCAAACATTACTCTGTTTCCACAAACTATGCCTTCATAAAATTTACTACCAACAAATCTGCATTAGTGATAGGGTAGCTCCGAAACATGGCAGTTTTGAAGTCAATTTAACCTCAGAACATGAACCATACCCCTGGCAACTGCATACTCCCAGCGGAAACTGATTCAAACTTCACAAAATGAGGGTTTACAGTACTTTCTGGACTAGGCCTTGACACATTATGCTAATATTTTCGTGAAATTATGCTTTTCGCATTGCTGAAAAAATTGCAGAATTATGCTATTTTTATGCTAAAAGTTATCATATTATGCCGCATTATGCTCACATATGCTGCTATAGCGCTAATGTATAATGGTTCTGTGCAAAATAACAGGGGAATTATTTTGTAGAGGGCGTTGTACTGTAGTAGCAAAAGTTCAACGGGGTCAACGCACCGTCCGACCTAGCTACGACCGTCACGGATTGTAGTGGACTGGACATGTTTTCAAGGGAGTCGTAAACCTACGACTTCATGGTGCCTCTACATACTTGTACTTGTAGAACATGTACAACTGTATGGAATTCGATGCGAACAGGCGGATTATTCCTATTTTATGCGATTCGTATGCAATTTGCCTCGAATTATGCGATTATTCGATTTTGGTAGGAATTATGAGAAAAATATGCTAGCATAATCTGTTAAGGCCTATTCTGGACACAAATTTAAAAAACGCAAAATAATCGTAATCGGTAATCTAAACGATTGCTCGATCGTTAGAGTTATCAAACGAGTACTCGATTATTCGGTATAATGGTTTCAGCCCTAAAAAAAAAACGCTCCCTCGCCTCGGCTTGGTAGAGCACACTTTCTGGGTACCGTTATCTGCCATTGTGCCAAGCTTGCTGTGTTTCTCGCAGTTAAAGCACCCTGACTTTGATGCTTTGAGCCGGCTTAAAAGTTAAACATGCTGCGTTGTTGTTGTTTTCTTTATTCGCTAAACCAAACGGACAGACGTATTCAGTGACAACAAAAAAGGAAGTAAATTATCGTATCCGTTCCCGAAAGAAACTCACGACGGCCGCTAATACCCGATAAATCCAGTGACAAGGGAGCAAAATTAATAATGAACCTCAGATCACTATGCATCAAAACATATCGGGCCACAAACGTTGTTCGTTAGACTTCATTACGATCGAACACTCTACTTGTCCTGAACAATTGCCATGATGACGAGAACAATGTAAGTCTACGCTGCTATTCCTCCTATTTGAATGTTACATACCGTACTCGCGCGATCAGTGCCACTGGGCCTGGGGCACTATTGTTTCAATGTCCATCACAGATGGGGCGCTATTCAAGCGAGTAACTCTCAACCTGAGTTCCGTTGAGAAGGCTCAACTACTTCCTAGCTATCACCGTGATCACTGCACTGTTAACACTGGAAACAAGCTATTCTTCCGGAGTGTGCCAAATGTGGGAGCAGGAACAAACGTGGGAAGCTCTTGAAATGTCTGGATTCATTGTGCGTCGAGTGTTTGGAGGTCTGCACGAACGACGAAAGTGCAGTTGGATGCCCAAGTTGCGGTGTGATCACTCCATCGCCACCTACAGGAACAACCCAGCTTCAGTCACTACCAGACAGTGATGTACGTGTATCTGGTGACGGTGGGGATACATCATTAGTCACCAGGAGAATGTGCGACGAATGTGTGGAGGACACTGAGGCTGTATCAACGTGCCTGGACTGTATGGACAAACTGTGCGAGGACCACGCTAAGGGACACTCTACCTCTCGCAGGTCTTACAAGCATAAGGTTGTGGCTCTCGGGGAGAGTGGAGCGGATACTGCACAGCAATTGCCCCAATCCAGTGGTTCCAACAGCTGCCCCATTCATCCCTCATCCAAGCAGTCCCGCTTCTGCATGGCCTGCTGTAAGATCCTCTGTGGGATATGTGAAGAATCGCACGGTGGTCATTGCGACGCCATTATGCCCATTGAAGAGGCTGCATCCAAAGCTAGGGAGGAGCTTAAAGCCGAGGTTGCTGCTAGCTTCTCCAACGATGGCAAAGGCATTCAGGAGTTGTTGGACAAAGTCGAAGCAGCTTCTGCACACCTACACCAAGATACGGAGGCGGTTTCATCCCAGATCAAAGAGTTCTTCACGCGTACAAAGGCATTGCTTGACACCAGGCAGCAGGAACTTCTCGACCAACTATATCAGCTTCAGCCCGCCCACCACATTCCTTTACAAGAACTCAAACGTCACCTATTGTCAGGTCTCTCCACCGGAAAGAAATTGATGAGCCTGATCGAGAGTTGCCATGACGACAGCAACTTCATGCGAATGTACGGTTGGCTGAAGGAGGCGGCCCAAGAGGTGCAGAGTGCGGCCAGGCGTAATGTTCAGCCGTGCGTGCCCGACACGCTCATGTTCGCACCATGCATGGCTGATACGCTGAATGAAGTCATCTGAAAGGTCGGCGAGGTCATGGATAGACGCATGTTGTCAACGGTGGAGAGTAGCATGGTTACAGACGTGAGCGTGGAGGAAGGGCATGATCTAGCGATATCCATTAATGCCAGGACCAGCAACGGCAAAGACCTGGAGGTAAATGAGCTACATGCTGATGCCATTAAAGTTCACGTCATGTCAGCGGACAATCATGTCACCACCTGCCCCGTTACCATGGACACCGAGTCAACACACCGCCTAGTTGCTAAGTACAAGACGGACGGCAAGAAACGACATGCTCAGGTTTCGGTGATCTGCAGGGACCATCACCTGAAGGGGAGCCCAGCCGTGGTGAGAATCATTGATACTCTTCAATTCAATCAACAGCTCCGCCACAATGATCTCGCACTGAGCTTCGACAACAAAACTGTGGAGCACAGAGGCCCGCGCGCAGACAGGGTTGTTTGTGGTTTGAAGCAATGGACGACTGGACGACATGAGTTTGCTGTGCGTATTGATCGTCATCCGGGGCATTCCTCTGGGCCGGGGATCTATATTTGTGGTGACTCCAGCCCAAAACTAGACCAGCACGCCAGAGGAGTGTGTTTTGGATGGTACTTCAGGGGAAGTTCATATCAGAACCCAACATCATCACCGTTACACTCATTGAGAGCCGGTGATGTGGTTAGCATGGTATTGGATTGCGACAATCACACGCTAGTCGGGCGCAACGAGCGTACAAGAGTAACTGATACAGTGGCCGTCACAGAAGCCTCATTCTTCCTATACGTACTTTTATCGGAAGTTGGACAGCAAATCACTATTCTCTGAATAGCATGTTTCTCTGCCAAGAACCGTCTTCTTGCGCTAAATTTCAACTCCAAAGCTTCATGCTCAGACCACGGTCACGCTGCTCGGCATTTGCATTACATTTTGGCAGAGTCGTTGAAATTCTTTGTGCACTTTCACATTGCAGCGCCGGCTGAATGAAATTATAGATCATTTTTCAAATTATTCAAATTCTCTTCTTGTTTCTCTCTGACATCATGTAGATCCTTTGTTTTGAGACTTCTCGATTATGAGCTCCTCCGCCAGTCATGTCAGAACGCAAAGGACCCATCTGGCACCTTTCTCTTCTGCCACGATTATTTCTCAGCTTTTATGAGCTGGTCACAATCAACAAACTTCCGTTTCCAACAGGGCCGAAGAGGACTCCTGGTCGAGTGTTTTGTGTTACGCCAGGTGTCTTACAGGCTATCTTCATACGCCTACGCAACCCAGACCTATGCATCCAGCACTGCCATTACCCCTATACTAGGCTATAGGCGATGCACACTAGTAAAGTTAACTCTAAAGCTCGCTAGGGTTTGCACCCTTACACTCTGTTGAACCACTAAGACGTACATGTACATGTATACATGTGTTGAGGTGTACCTACATGGCCTTTTGGCAATATTTTCTCTTGTGTGTTTACCAGTACATGTACTTGCAATTCATCGTGGTCAAGTATTTCTGCAGCTCGGAGAGCAACGGATTTGTCATAATAATAATAACTTTATTAGGATGACCCAAAGGCAAATCGCCTATCGAGGGGTTCGCCGCGTTGAATAGTTGTGGTATGACAAAGCAAATTGTGTGTGTGTGGGGGGGGGGGGGGGCGGGGAGGGTTGATTGTGTACGGTCGGTATTAAAATAGAGCACAAGCGGCTTGCACTGCTGTAGTCCAAAGAGCACATTGCATACCGCTGCCTGGCGAGCTACATTGTATCGGTCTTATACAGGATGTGTATGCCTAATTCGTGGAAAACACACCATTCACATGTACATGCGGCCAGGAACAAGTATTGAAGTAAGTATTAGTCGAACGTACTCGGTCAGATAAAGATAGTCCTTTTGTTTTCTCTCATTCCAGAATGATGCGTGAACTCACAGTGCTCTGTTGACAGCTTCAAGACCAGGAAACCGTTGCGCTAGGACGTAACCCGGCGAATACATCTACAGGTCACTTGACGGAAAACCAGGCGGAAATGAATAATGAGCATGACTGTGATGAAATAGAAACTCGGCACATCGTGTGTGTGTGTGTGGGGGGGGGGGGGGGTGGAGGTAACCATGGTGATGATGGGGAAGTGATCTTATGCACGACTTGTGTTATTATTGTTTATTTTGATTCGCACGATAAATAGAGCACAATAAACGTTAACTTGACCGAAGGTTAAAGGCGACTGCAGATAGAGGAACACATCGAGGTACAGGTACCGGCATCAATACAGTATCAGAGAGAAACAAACAAAAATGAGAGGTACGCAGAAAAAACTCTCGTAAGCCCAAGGGGAAGTGGTTGATGAGGGATGAATGCACTCTCCACGCTCGTCTACACTGTTCGTGGAAATGCACACATACATACAATAATATACAACATAGCAATAGCATGCACAGAACCGAACAATTTCATGTTCACACATGCAAGCACAGACCTGAACATTAGTACCAAAAGCCGATACAGACAATATCCCCATACACACAGACGCACACACACACACAATGTCCCATGTATGCGCCCGTGGCGAGAAAAGCACGCAAATCTAAAAATGCACTGGATGTGAACCCACAGATTTTCTCTTATAGCAACGATAGCGGATCTGATTCTAAATGAAACACACACACAATACAATCATTGAATGCCCATCCGCAGATGATGGCAGGTCCTGAAAGAACAGGCAGTGTTCCAGTGATGGGGAACAGAACTTCGAGTGGCGAGTGAGGTATACACACACACACGTGCGTGCGCGGGCACACACCAAAGTATGAAGAAATAGAATCGACATCGAAGTATTCATTGGTTGGGGAATGGAAAGGAAAATAAAACATTGCTGTAGGTTATTGTTGTAAGGACACTGGGAGCACAACAGAAAGGTAAGCAACTTGCTTTGAAGCAAAGAAAGTTATTATTCCACGGATCTCAGAAGGAAGGAACGTTCCAGAATGCTGCACTGGCAACAGGCGGCCTGCATGTGCGCGGCCCCTGCAGTCGGTCCAGCTGCCGGCCTTGCAGTGCTGAAAAGAATGTGCAGTACAGCATGTCACATAGTATCGCAGCCTGGACAAATAGGCGCTGGGAAGTCCTAGTTATGTGCTCACCTACACCACGATGCACCAATCTTCTGAGCTACTTTGGCAACAACTTTGTCCACTTGAGACTCCCATGAGCTGAGCCAGTTGTTGAGGGCTGCATCAAGGTGGACGGCAATGACCGCTGATGGCAAGGCAATCCATGACACACAGTCACTAGGGCATCGTCAACATGGCGCTGAGGCTGGATCGATAAAATCAACCTTTAGGCTGTCGCGGGGTTGACAACGAGGCCGCTGTCTCGAAGCTAGTCAGTCAGCCTGGTCACCGCCATTGACGAACCAGTCGCCACCGCCAGCAGTGGCGGTAGGTTGTGACAAGTGTGGTGCAATATTGTCAGCAAATTCAGTACTCAGGATAAGATGAGTGACAAAGGGAACGTTGTGTTTGATAATATTGAAGTGAACAGGGATGATCACAAACCCTGCGCGTACTCCACCGTGAGTTACAAGAAAATTCCGGACTGGACGACGAGCAAACACCAACCTGCTACATCCAACCAGGCAGATACTATTACGATAGCTGCCAAACCAGGTCAATGCCGACCTACTGCATAATGTCAATGTCAAACAGATCCTGCAGGAGAAGACTGGGGTGTTGGCGTCCAGTCACTGAGTGTACAGACACCAGTCACATTTCCTGCGTCTTTTGCAGCATACAGGATAGACTCATCACTGTAAAGTCCACAACTTCGTGAATTTTATTTGTACAATACATGACAGGCGAATTCAGTGTGCCTCGCAGGACTGCGAGATGCTGCAGAAGACCAGGTTCGACCTTTCTGGACCGCCATTCACCGACGGTGGGCTACACGATGCTGGAGGAACTAGATTCCAGTGAAAACCCAAGATTCCTTTGCTCCTGGACGCTCCGACGTGTTGTGATATCTGCCAGGTGCGCAGTAACTAGTATTTTCATCGCTATAGCGAGGACGACGCCGATCGGCAAACTCTCGCTCACAGCCATCACCAGCCTCTCAAAACCATCACTTGGCATCCCCCAGAGGTATAGGAGAAAGCCAAAACAGCTCTCAACAGACAAAAGCTAAGGACGATGGAAAGAGAGCATGTCAAAAAGAAGACGAACAATATGATGTTCAAATGGTTTTGAACACTCGTACCACCAACTATACCACTTTCAATAAATCGTGACGCCATTTTGTTTTAACATGAATATCGCGGACTGTCTTCATGTAAACCAGGGAGTCGTAAAAGCCCGGGAGAGGACACGGCACACATTCCCAGAAAACATCTTTGCCTCGCGCTGCCGGGGAACGCTGCCAGGGAACGGTGTTGCGAGGCAAGGACATTATTATTTTCGAAAATTGTGATGTCTTCTTGAAATACTAATTGGGACATTCTCCGATTTCTCTTAGAGCACGGAGACGATTTCTCCGTCGAGTCTTCTAATCTCTATTTTCATCCTCAATTCTTCCAGCTGCCTCACTCATTCTCTCTCAGTTTATCGAAGTTAATTTATTCTGAGGCGATGGAAATGCAAGATAAATCCCTAATTGTACTTCACTTTTATTTGAGTTGGGGTGAACGAAATGAGATTTGTGGAAAATGACGCCACTTCCCGTGTTAGCCGCTGGTCGTATCATACAGCCCATATTCCATTGCAGGTGATGGGCGAACGTTCGTGTTGAGATCCGCTGAGCTTCCTCGTACTCGTGGAGTTGAATTTGTGGCAGAAATTGCACTGAATTGCAGTCAAATGGTTGTGAATGAAACGAGATTTGTGGAAAATGACGCCACTTCCCGTGTTAGCCGCTGGTCGTATCATACAGCCCATATTCCATTGCAGGTGATGGGCGAACGTTCGTGTTGAGATCCGCTGAGCTTCCTCGTACTCGTGGAGTTGAATTTGTGGCAGAAATTGCACTGAAT